AGTGAAATTGATCCTCAATGGGATCGGCTAACGTCGTTAAAAGATATGAAACGACGGTCATGACCTGAACTTGTGATAAATTATGAATGTTCGAGTCCGATTCGAACCGGATCCCGGCAGAGATGCTTACCGCGAATATTTAACCAACTTTAAAAAAAAATAATATTAAATTATTCATAATTATTTCATATTTCAATACATATAATACAGTAATAATTCTTTGTACACAAGCCTAGATTACATTCTGAATGAACAAATGCAGAAAGACAAAATGTCGAATGTACAAAATGTACATTTACTTACCTTATCACGACGTTATTTTCGTGTCGTATTTCCATCGATTTTATTTTATTTTATTTTTTTTCAAATATTATTAAATCACAGTAATTTACTAGATATAAACAAAATATCTAAGATTAAAGATCATGTTATAGTATATGTTATTGAATTTAATACGGTACTGTAATTTGAAACAATGCAGTTTCTTTAATTTAGATGATAACATAATTTGTTCGTTCGTAAACATTTATACTTAGTATACTACAAAGACAGTTAATTAGATAAAGCGAATTAATAATTATGATATTTTATTAACAAAGATTTACAAACCAATCAACCAATTTCAAAGAAATCAGAAATTCCGTACCGAAGATTATTGCAGTCTTTATTGGAACTGATTTTATTACTATTGTTAATTTTTTTTATTTGTTATTAATTCTCTTTAACTTTATATAAAATTGAAATTACAATTAAATTTCGTATCGAGCAATTCCGCAAAAAGTTACTTTAATTTTTGTTGAGTGTTGATGCATATAGTTAAATTTACGAGTAATTGTTATGTAAACTATGTTTATTGCCCACACAGTATTACAATTAATAATAAGACTGTATGCTCCACTAATGTCGAGAGTATTTATAATATTTAAAATTATATTTCCACGACTTAAATAAAGATAACTGTTCAGTAATTAATAAAGGAGATTGACGATCCATAAACATAAGGTGATAACGAATAACAAAATTTTAGGCATTCAATAACAATCGAATAAAAATAATTTTCTCTTATTACTCCTACGTTATTCTAATACCGAACGTAGTTTTTTACTTAACAAGTTTGTTTTTTTTTTTGTCTAAGTAATAATCCTATTTTCCTGATCGCACTTAGTAAATAATACTGCACGAAAATATTACTGATCAAAGCTTGTTTTAATAATGCATATTTTTATTAATCAAAATATAGCGTAACACTAGCCAAATGATCACGTAGAAGAGCTTTCTACTAATCAGATATTTTTACAGAGAAGAATAATGATTAAATAATGATCAACTAAATATTCTGCAAGTCGAACTTTTACATTTATCTAATTTATATAACGTAGCCTATACAAAATAATGAATTTGTTTCCTCGTATTATTTTTTTCCACAAAGTAAATATTCTTTGCTTAAGTGGTCGGCAATTTTATTAATATTTAACAACTTCAAATAATAAATTAATATATAAGAAATAATTATCTATCTCGTTAAATATGCTCTGAAACTTTTTAAAATTACATTTATCTTATATTTCCAAAAATCAGCAAAAGTCAATTATACAATAGAAATGTAATTTGAGTAATTTATATTCAAATACAAATAACATTTTTGTATTAAAGGGCCTATGAGGACCTTTATTACGTATTCATTGGGTGGTTGAAGAAACATTAAATGGCTCAGTAGAGAGTAAAAAGTTCCGATTATTTATGAAAGATTCGTCGAGAGATGAGCTAAGAATTCTTCCCCAGATCCGAAGAAAACTTGAGGGACGTAGTGATTAATACACCTATAAATTAATTTTATTTTTATTAACAAAATATAAAATCTTTAACATTTTACGTATTTCATTTCCTTAAAAAGGGGCAAAAGAGGGGCTCGTGTTATTTCCGGACATCATAAAAGCGCTAGACGGCCTCCCCACATAATAGAGAGAGATTTCTATTGCCTCGACATTTAATCTTATACAATTTGATCATTCGACATTTTATCTTTCTACATTGTGAATGCCAGCGGTAGTGTGTGCGGTAAACCTGTTATTTATAGACTAATAATTTAAATAATTTTTCCCTTCTGTTTGAATTTATCAATTACATTCCATACCCTAAATAATGGAATATTTGTAAAATTATATATATACAGTACATTGTACTGTACGTATACAAGCTTCCTAAGTCAGTTATCATAAGAGGATTGTCAGTCGTTCTGCGATTCATCATAATTTTATTTAATAGATCTTTCCATTTCTCATTTATTTAAAATGTTCTATATAGTTTGATAATGCTTGATGTTATGAAATTATACAATTATTATTAAATATTTCAATATAAATCTATCCTTTCTGGAAAACAATCAGAAAATATAAATAAATGTAGCTAAAATATTTTGCTTTTTCATTGAGACCGATTCATAACTTTTTTATTTTATTTTTTCTCTATAAACATTTTCTAATTTAAAAGATTAGAAAGTATTGGAAATATTTTAATAAAGTATCTATTCTAATATTATTAATGTTTTCATGCTATATATACAAAAAATTTCTTCTATAGTCACATATAATATAGTTGATATAAAGTATTTGAACCATCTAATCTAAATTTGCATGATATTCACGAAAACAATTTTATTTTCTCCAAAGGAAACAATCACGTAATGACCATTTTTAAACGTTTGTAAATAAGTTATAAGATTTTTGAATCATATTCTATAGTTTTGGATAGATATGTGTAGTCTATATAAATATTCTATTTAAATGTAACATTATTTAAATTATTCGGTTGCTATTTTTAGAGATTTTTTTCGATTTTTTCTTTAACAAACAGATTCAAATCTCACGAAAGACATTAACTGTGACTACTAAAAAGTATCGAAATTCACTCAAAAAGAAAAAAAAAAAACACAAAAAAATTTTTTAACGTATTCATTCTGAATTTTTTCTTCAGAAAACTATTCATTTTATTATAAATTATTTCTATCTTTACTCTATTCAAGCATAACAGGTGTATGAATAAGTAGTAATTTTCTTACCAGTTAATTTATTCTGGCATGTGTTTAAATTTATTTTTCGCATTTGAAATTCATTTTTATTGTTTTTTTTTTAATGCTACGAGTTTTAAGAATAACTGATTTTAGTTTATATTATATCTCGAACTAAAAAAAAAACGCAGCAATACATCATTGTCTACGCAATTTATGATCATATTTTGATATCTTCTTCGCATAAAACATCGCGCTGAATTAATCTACAATCTCTAAACAGGTTTAATGTATTCAGATGCTTATAATTGATATCCGTAAATGTATAGTAGCCCGCAGTAAACGATTTAACTAAAAACTTGCAACGTGTTTACGTGAAAATATTAACTTACGGCTTTGTTTTATAATAAATATTAAAACTATTTTCATACAAAACTAAATACGAAAACATGTTGATATGTGTGAATGTTTGTAATACAATATGTGTTAAGTATCATCTTAGAATAGAAAAGTTAAAATACAGTTGTAAAGTCTTTCTAAGCTAGAATCATTATATTCAAAATGGAATCAATATTAGTGATTTATATGGATGATGTTTATTTTAAATATATAAATATCCATGGTTGATCAAATAGTCCTCATTATAGAATAGCCACGCGAAAAAGTGATTCTATCGTTATTAGATAACATACTGGAAAGTGATTTTTATTGATAATTGGGTCCTGGTATAGTCCCATCCTTTACCTATGTTTTGAATGATTTCATTGTGAGTAATAATTTTAGCATAACGGAAAATTAATACAAATGTATTATCATTTAAATTATACCCAATCCCTGTGACGAAACGTTTTATTCTGTAAAAATCAAATGTAAATAAAATTTGTCTTAATGGAAAAACATAAGAATAATGGGTTAAGTTCCAAAAAGTATAGGATGACATTCATTTAAATTTCATATATTAATGTTAATAAATATTATGTAAGCCTATAAAAATTAACTAGTAATTAATTAGCTAATAAAAAAAAAGTTTTATATAGATTATTTGATTAAATATAAATCGATAATTACAGTTAATAACTTTTTCAGATTTTATTATCTACTATAAGACATTCGTAATATTTTTCCTGGAATAAGTTAAAATAACTTTATCAACTGCAAGTTGCTTATAATTATTATATTCGATCATTAATATCCATTTCATGTATCAATACATCAACTACGATTTCCATTCAAATATAGCAGCTAATCATAGATTACTTTGTGTGTCCTCGCATCAATGGAATACTATGGATTTATCAGTACTGAATGCATACAAAATGTATTTCGAAGGAAATGAAATATGTCCGAACATATTTCTTATTTTTATTCACGCGTATTTCATGAATCGAATTCATACAAACTACGCTCTTTTGAATCTATCTTCTATATTGAAATAAGTTAATTAAATTTATCTTTAAAAATGGAATAGAGTAACTGTTTATTTTCACAAAAATAATGATATTTAAATGTAAAAACGTCTAAAGAACAATTTCAAATCATTTATAAAATTTATCTATTTTATTTTATTCATAAATCAAAAATATATCAAATTAAATTCTTAGATGTTTTTAACACTTAATTCTTTAAGTATCATTATTACAATTTTTATTAACAGTAACATATTATATATTTAATTATTAATTAAAATAATAACTTAATGTATGTATATTATATATTGTAATTAATTAATAGTTTTCAAAATATTAATATTTTTACTTATATAATACCACTTAAGTTTAATAGTTGAAAGTAAATTAAATATATTTTTAAAAAAAATATATTAAAATTTTAAATTAATAAGAGAGAAGACTATTTTTAAAATTCTAAAGAACGGCTATAATCGTACAGAATTTCTCCAGTCGTATTATTAAAAACAGACTTCTTTCTAAATGATTCCTAGATTAACTTGTAGTCTACGTTATGTATTTTTGGAAAATATTCACTATTATCTTACCGCTTCTACAAATACATCTCCAACTTTTTGTTTACTGTCCCAACTCGTTAATCTCTGCCGCAGCACCTCTAAAAAACTTTCGTGATGACTTAAAATTTCGGGTACTTGATAAAATATTTCGTCAACTAAAGACGAGTCGACTAATCCAGCGTGTTCTGGACTCTTCAGAGACTTCATATATTTCTGTAAATATTAAAATATTAATTATATAAATGTTTGTGGCGTATCTATATTATTCATAAAATACAGAATATTCACGAAAAGACATTTTCTAAATCAATTAAGCAAAAAATTAACTAAATATAAATCTTGTTCTATTAGCAGAAAGGAAATTATTCGATTTTCAAAATAATAATGTAAATTGCAGCAATCAAGCTCAATCAATCAGTTTATCTGTATTTTCTATTAATTATTACTTTGCAGATAAGTAATATACAGACATTACATATATAATAAAAAGCCAAATCTATAGCAAAATAATAATAATAAATCTGCTGAAGTTTAAGAAGAAAATTTCACAGTTTATGCTTTAATGTCCAATAAAGTGAGTGCAATAGTTTTTTTTCGAAAATAAAATAAAAATCTGCAATAAACTAGAATTCTTAAGTAACTATTATTGTTTATCTGAAGAAATAATCAAAAGAAAAGAACCATGCTCGCTAGCCAAAATATATATTGACAATTTCGATTAAAAATAAAAAAAAAGTTTGAACTAATTTATTAACTAGACAACTCCCAAGTCAAGGAACTACGAACATTATTATTATGGCTATTTAAAACGGAAAATAAACACATTAAAATTTATCGAACACAACCCAAAAATAATTCGAAAAAAAAAATAATAAATTTAAATTATTTATCTATAACATTTTCGTATTTATTTTTCTATTTAAGATGGAGTTTTCTTTTATTTTTATTTATTTTTTAACCTGAAAATAACTAAATTTTCAAAGTAAAACAAAAGAAATTGCTAATATAGTAAATTAAAACTGATTATTTATTTATTACTGAACAGAATAAATTTAGTAAACTTTACGGGATATTTCTAGTTTACTGCAATTTATATTAATTACTCGAATATTAATCTATATTTATTATATTAGATTCAAACAAGATTCAATTTCTACGTTTTTGTAGTTCATTAAATTAGTTTTGTATGAATTTTAGTTATTAATTAAGTTTAAAAGTTATGCTCATGTAATTTGATTTTAAGTACTGTACATTCAAAATGAATAACATTAAATAAATGATTATATATTTATATATTTAACGAAAAGATTTGAAAAACTATTAACCTAAAAATTTATTTTAAACCATGTTTACCTATTTAAGAACCAATATTGATAATATCGAAAATTTATGTAATAACAGTCACCTCATTGTGAATTTAGAAATTTGAAATTCATTAAATTTATATTTAAATTCATTGAAATTATTTCTGTTATCGACTTTTCTAAGTAATCTGTTTTCTCGATTAAGTTTTACAATTTCAAATACACATTAAATTCAAGCATTTTTAATTGTATCAAACTCTAATAAGAAGAAAATGATGCTATTTTAATTTTCATTTTTAATTAATTATCTGCAATTTTCCTATAAATTTAAAATCGATAATAAATTGATTTTGAAGATATTATTTGCAATTATTTTTCTTAATAATATTGGTGATTTAATCGATAGTTTATTCAATGCAAAAAAAAAAAAATAATATAGATCTATATATTAAAAATTGACAATTACAAAAGTTAACATTTGCCAAAATAATCAATATTTCTGTCTTAATAGCTTTTATATTGTTTTGACGGGAAACAAAAAAATGAATCGCGCCTTCACTGATTAAAAATGCATAAAGAGAATCTGCATTTTAAAATTAATTTTGAGACAGTGTCTACAAATACGGTAAGTAGGATTTAAATTATATATTTCTTTACAGTTTTTTTTTTTATTTTGTGTTCTCAGGATACCTTATCAAACTTACTAGATAAGTTTCTTAAGAAAAGAATGACTGGCTTGTATAGACCTATCAGAAGATCACTGAAAGTTTTGATGGTATCTCAGCATGGCAGTTAGCAACACAGTTTATAGTGGGTGTGGTAACAGATATACACGAGTCATTTATCAAAATTGTGACGTTGCTTAGAGTTGCTTTCAATTTAACAACTCTTATTTTGAACCGAAATGAACAATAGTTGATTGAATAGTTGTATAAAGAATTGGCACGGTATTATAATTAGTAATTTGTTGGCTTCATTTAAAATATATTTCAAAGAGTTTTCGTAATTATCTATTTAATTTTAGACATAATAATTCTTTGTTATGGCTGTGAATAGTTCAGAAAGCAGTTGTCAGTTGAAAACTGCTGGCAAAATGCATTTATTCTACTTAAAAGATGTATGACGTGACGACAAATTGGCGTTTTCCTGTTATGATTTGAAATTATTGTAGTTAAGGAACAATAACACATTACTGACATCATAGAAAAAGTCACCATATGTCTTTTCGTACAGACAGCTTCCCGCGGACTGTCATTACTGCCGCACCCTCCAGGTGACACATAGTTACCATCAATCGTAGTCAAGAGATACTTGTCCTTCGAAAAACTTTTCTGAAGCTTAACATAGATCATTTTTCTACAACGTTGGCGTTTAGACAAACAAAACGCGCTATAAAAATTGATATAGAAAGACAGAGCAGTCAAATATTTAAAATCAAACTTTTAAATAATTAATTTATTATAGTTAAACCTATATCTTACATTCTTTTTTTTTAATTTAATGTTTTAAAACATTACCTTTGAGTTATTGTTTTTGAACGTTTTCGGTGCGAACAACTCATAAATTTCAAGTGTTCTAGCATTAAAATAGAAAGAAAGAAAGAAAAAAAAAAGGGGGAGAGATTTTACATAAAAATTCTTTTTCTAAAAGATAAAACAAATGGAAATTTTTAACAAACGGATCTTCCAATTCGTGTTTCAATTTCGATCGATTGAATTCACAAAATGAAAACAGCAAGTTTATTTCTATTAACCGAATACGTTTATCCATTGAAATCTTTTTCTAGCTTAAATTTAAAACTAAAGAAATAAACTTATATAGACAATACATATATATATATATAAATATTACTTACATTGACTATAATTTGTAGAGATTCTACATACGATTTTTCCGTATCGTATAATTCTCCTACCACATGCGTCCTGGTATCCTGTACGAAACAACTCTTACAATTATAACATACAACAAATCATTATAATATTATAATTATATTTAAATAATGCTAAATAACGAGTAGATTAAAAGAAAAAAAATTTATAGTTTGCTTGACCAACTTTGAAAACATTATTAATTTTAATAATTCTTTCAATCTACAAGAAAACTTAAATTTAAACTGTGAAATACAACTTAAATTTTACAAAGAGAGGTTTATAATGTTTGCATTAAAATAATATGAAATTAGAAAAAAAATAAGACAGAAAAAACTTTTAAAGTTAAAGCTTAAAAATAATCTTAAGCATAGAGACGACTTAATACAAAATAAAAAATGTTCTATCAAAGATTTTTCAAATCTATAATCGGCATAGCATCTGATCTTATTAATATTTCATGCTCCCGTTTTCAATAAATCATAAATAAACAACATAAACATTCAATAAAATCAATATCCAATATTAACATCCATTCATATTGATAATGCGTTAAAATAGCGTTTAAATGAAACATTATTCTAAGTCAAACTAACGGAAAAAGAGTTTGCAATTTCGCATATTACTATAATTAATTCTAAGTTAAATATATTTAAGAATATATTTTATGTTACGAAAGAAAAATACAATTATTTTTTGTGTATATATAGGTCATATAATTTATATTAGTGCTTGATCATAGTTTAATTAAACATCTTATTCAGCGCCATTTGAAGCGGATTTAATTTGAAGAAAACTTTTTCAGAATACGTAGAAATCAATTTGGCGAAAAAATTAATTAGTTCCAATTTCAGCCACAGCAGAAAAAATGACACTGTCATTCGTATCTGAACTTCTATAGATAAAAATGACAGTTAGCTTACTGTATAGCAGATGTTACGTTCCTATTCAGTTAGTTAAAGCTAGAAAACATGCCACAATGTTACCAGACCGTACTATCTAAGTAAAGCTCTATTATCAAAATGATAGCAAAAGCAGCCGCTGTCATACGGGAATGCCGACATATAGGGGAAACTATTATCTTATCTGTTCCGTATATTTTCTCTTTCAACTCTTTGTATTAAACTAAAATATGCGTGAAAGAAGTAGCAAACGTGTGTTGAACAACGCCGATTTTCCACTGGTGATCAAAACTGAAATTAATTATTTTAGCGAAATTGCTTTCCCGAGGTTATGAAGAATATATCCTCCAAACTTGACTACAATCCATTCGTTAAATCCCTTTCCAGAGAGCACTGAATACAGAAAACTTAATTAGATTATGACTACACTGTGCGTGTGTGTCTGTGTATATGTTTGTGTGTGTACAGTACATGTGGGTGTGTGCAGATGTAGGTTGTGCGTGTGTTTTTTTTTTTTTTTTTTAAATTACAATTTTACAGCATCAAACTATAACTTAAAACAAATTTTAATTATAATAGAAAGTTTAAAAAAATCATCTCCTCTTCCTTACGATTTATAAAATCTAATATATTTTATATAAAAATACAAGGAAATATTTATAGGGAATTAATTTTATTTCCTTGTATATAGAAGGAATAAATAAGGAAATGAAATTATGATTCAATAGAAAAAACAATTTATTTTTAAAATGGACACAATAAAATACATTTAAAATCGACAAGGAACAGTTATAATGGAAAAAGATATTAAATGATCTGCTTCTCCAAGTTACGCCCACACTAAAGTAAAGAGTAATAAACAAGTTAAAATAAAAAGAAAAATCTAAAGCAATTAAAAATTTTCATTTAATATATAATAAATTATATATTAAATGAAATTTTTAAAATGACAAAACTAACTTAAACGAAATCTTTTTCAAAAATAAAACTTTGATAATTAAATTACGATAATTTTTGATATTAAAAAGAATAAATAAATATATGATTAAACTGATTTTTAATAACTTTTCCTTTCAAATTAAACTATTTATACAATTTATATAATTTAGGCAATTAATATTTATACTCGAAGAACATTCTTTAAATAAAATTTGAAATTTTTATTAAAATATTAACAGTTCTCTTGCCATAAAAAAAGAGATTTTTTCGACGTTTGATACATATTTATTTGAATAATATATTTAAAAAATAATTAAGTTTAAACCACAACAATAATTGTATTTAACATTAAAAAAATAATATATATTAATTAAGTAAATTTTTAGAAAATTAAACTCTATAATCAGATTTTATATTGTTAAAAAAGGCTCAGATGGACAAGAGATTTATTTTTAAAGTCAATATATTTTGTTGTATTTCTTATTTCAAAGAATACAAAAGCGTATCGATTTCTTTTACAATCAAATTGGAGTTTTCGATAGAATATGCAATCTATTGTTAAGTTTAAATATTTATCCCTGGAATAAATTTAATTTTAAAATATTAGTCTATATTAAATTAATTTTATGAAAAGTTATCAGAAAGAAAGTATATTTATTCTTCAATACTTCCACTTATAATTATTACAAAAAATAATAAAAAAAAAAGCTTAAATGAATTCGCTACAGATATTTCTTTGGAAATTAAATCATAATAATAAATGAGTTCGTCTCTAAATTCGTATAAAAATTCTGTTTTATAATTTCATTTTGTACTGCCTGAAATTTTAATGACAGTTTCCTAATAAACTAAGCAAAAGAAAACATTTTTCAGACATTAATTTACGATAATAAAATCGACGGGTGATATAATGAAGAGTGGCAATTATAAAAATCATAATTTTCGTACAAGCTTGTGGATTCTTTTGGGTTTAAATTTAAATTTAAGCTTTTTAAAAAAAAAAAAAACACGTTCACATACATTATAATTAGCTACAAATAATGAATTATAATTAAGATAAATAAACAATTACTTTTTTAAAAATTAATCATTGTATTATCACGTATAAATGGTTCGTTTTTATATGATTTAAATAACCAAAGGAACCGTTTCGATCTCTGTTAATACCTCGTTATTTATAAAAAAAATATTGATTAAATTAATTAAATTAATGGATATTCCTAATTTTTCATATTATCTTTTCTTTTTCTTTTGTTTTTATGATTTTTAAGTATACTTTATGGGATCAACTTGACCATATATATATATATATTTTTTTTTTCTGTTATTTAATTCTTATAAGAGCTCTTACGGAGATTCTTAAAAGCAACTCCTAGTCTCCTACAAACAAAGTAGTTAAATAAAATATTTATTTAGTTTGAATTAAATTGACTTTTTCAACCCCATTTTCTAAATATCCCATTATTACTATTACTTGTATTTATGTATGTATAACAGAGAGAGAAAAGGAAGCTTAAGTTTTATATATATAAATTTGATATATATAAATTACAATTTAACCATTACTAAATAGAAAGGAACCGCCATAAGAAAATCGATATTTTTGCCAAATTTGGTATAAACAGAACAGTCGTAATTGTATTCGCGCACACCCACACAAGCATGTATTATTACTTGCTCAACAAAATTATTAATGCCGAAATTCATTAGTTTCTAAGTACTTCATCGGATAATTAATTTTACTTCCCGCATCCAAATTACTGGTTTTTTTTTATTTACTTATTTATATAAATTATTTATATATTCTTAAATATTATCTGTCAAATTAATTGTATAAAATATTTGTATGAAAAGTCGATATGAATTTCTATCCAAAGAACAATATCGTCGTACTTTTAAAGACAGCATTTATAATCAAATTGATTTTCATTACTTATTCTTTTAAGTTCATTTTACTAAAAGAGAATAATGTATTGAATATCTATAAAGATGAAATACATTTTCTATTAGATTATGAATTAGATCTATCTGTAAAATAAGTCAACAGTTGTGTAGTAAAGCTTAAGCTCTATAATTTAAGCAATAAGAAATTAATTACTACTAACAGCTTCTGCATCGTTACCAATTATTATGCGGATGAATCTGTATTCTTCATCATAATAGAAGAATTAACTATTATTGAATTTTCTACTTTATCGCTCTTATACACATTACGATATTGTAACGCTTGTAACAAAATAAACTTATCACTTATACGTGATAGTAACAGAAGGATTTTAATATTTTTACAGTATTCTGTGCAGTACATATATTCGTTCAATAATTATTTTTGTATATTCAGCTAATCGAAATGTTGATAAATTAAATTATAACAAACATAATCCTTTACTATTTATAAGATATCGAAGATCAGTCGATGCTCTCTCTACTTCAATTACATAAAATCCTTAAAAATTACACAGACCTCTGGAGTGTTATAACACGAATTTAACGAGAAGACAGTTTGTTTCGTCGAAAGAGTATTATCCCGGGGATTTTAGTAATTAGAGCTAACACTGACTATCCAAATCAAACTTTGTATTGGGAACAGATAATTATTTGGCGCTTATTTAAACATCTTTCTTGCTTATTTCTACCATAAATAGAGAATTGTGATGGAGTTGTATTAAAGTTCGTTTTTTTTTTTTTTTTTACTAAAACCTGTCACTATTGGCAGAAACAAACCAATAATCAAACGACGATGAATCTCTAGGGAAACATCATTTAAACACAGGAAAGTAGAACTAGATAATCAAACATTAATCAATAGTAGCTATCCGAAAAATATTTAAAAAAAAGTAATATAATGTAATAACTTTTATTGTATTTTTAGCTAGTTTAAAAGAGATTTATTTTCACTTTCTGATAAAATGCGATTAAGTTTATAATGGCAGAAATTATTTAACAATAAAACAATATCTCTCGATGAACTATCGCTGATAAAGTTTATCAAAGAAGCCTGTACAGTTTGTATTGTGTGCAACGAAGCGTGCTTGAACGCAATATATTGACATAACACGTGTCAATAATTGAGTGCGAACATTATTGAAGTATGCTTCCTGAAAAGAAAAATCGAGACAGGAGGATTTAGACGCGAGGATTAATAAAATGGAACACGCATAAAATTTGAATGATAACTCTGAATCTTACGCGTTCTATTTTATTAATAAACTCAAAGCTGA